TCTTATTCATATGTATTTATATAGGCAGATGTGCTTGTTTGCTAATATGGGGATCATCGAGATTCGAGAATTGACATGGGAATTGTAATTTAAAACCAAAGTACATTAGATAATAGGAAATTAAACTGAGTTAGACAATTTTTCCAATTTCCATATTCCTTAACCCCTTAAGGACCAAGCTTCTGGAATAAAAGGGAATCATGACATGTCACACATGTCATGTGTCCTTAAGGGGTAAAACTACTGATGTAAAAAAGAAACCATTGATAATGAAAAACAGTCAATAAGATATGATACTGTTATAAATTTTATTATATATGATCATACAGATACAGATGGTGGGAATTCATATTTGCCCCAAGTGAATTGTATTACCAAATAAAAATAAATAGATTAAGTCAGTGTTTGTCATAAATCAATTGCCACCTCAGGCAAGGAGCATCCTTGGGTACCATCTCATGCTGAGCACTCTTTTTGCCAACTTGACTATGCCTATTACAGCAATATTTCTGAGGGAGGAGTTTCACACTTCTGAATGTTCAGCAATATGAACCTTGTACCATTATCCATTAGATTATATTGTTACAGAATTGTCTAATAAAACTATAGATATGAGAATACAACTTTAAAAAAACAATGTCCGAATCCACCTGAACTTATGCTAAATAATTAAAGGGGATAGAAATTACCAGATTTTACTAATTTCATGACGTGAAGTCATGATTTTATTAAGTACACGGAGGCTTATATTATGCTTAATCTCTTTCTTTTTAATCCTCAGCAGCAAATATTGTATATTTATTAGAAACAAATCAAACATGTAAACATGAACCCTAATGGGTTAACCACATAACAATACATCCAATCATAATGTCCCTTGCACCATCAACTCCCCATGTGACCTTAAGCCACTTCTCTTTCTTTGGTGGTGCTGACAAAGAATTCAACGCAGAACATTTGTCAACTTGAAAAAAAACAATCAACAACTCCACGGTTGAATAATCCAGTATTCTGTAAAAGATGGCATCCTCCGTTAGGCCCAGAAGGAACCAATGCACAACGTGCCAAATCCGATTATGAAGCTGAAAGGAACAGAGAAACAAACTGGTAAAATATGTTTCTGAATATTCAAATTATTACCATAGTACAGTATTAAGCATAGGAACATAAGCATCCGTAAACAGATTATTACCTAATAGAAAAACTTTCAATAAATGCAATATGTTGTAGTAACATAACTCCAGTGTAAAACTTAATGACTAAACATCTACGGGAGGGTGCCACCTGTAACTGGTCGGATAATGCTCGCCTCCGTGTCCTTAATAAAATCATGACTTTATGTTATGAAATTAGTCAAATCTGGTAATTATATTAAGGACACGGAGGCTCATATTATGCTAGTTCAAAGCTGCGAAATGACCACATCAGAAAAATGAGAAACTGGCCGAAAATAAAACTCCTTGAAGGTAGATTCGCAGGACCAATCAGCAGCCGGGAAGAGGTCCTCCAACCTGCATCCTTTGGAGAAAGCCTTAGACGCCATGGCTCCCCTGACAGAGTGTGCTCCATATGCTGAAGTGTCAATGCCTGCTGATGTCATAATCCATTTTACCCAACGAGACAATGTGACTGCAGAAACAGGATGATGCAGATGTCGAGGGCCAAAAACAAATCAGGATAAGATGGATCACGAGTAGAAGATGTCCTGGACTCGAATCTTTGAGACATGCCACTTGACATAGGTTAACATTTTGCAGAAAAGCCGGGTAGAAAACTGAGGTGATTGTCGTTTTCGTGCTTCTCAAAATATTAAACAAGACACCCTCAGGGGTGAATGAATGTGCAGAGAGGTCCAACGCACAAACATCTGACACCCGTTTACAGGAGATCATACAAAACAACATCCTCAGTTTTGCCGTGAGCTGTTTGAGTGAGAGGTCTTCATTCTTTGGCCAATCTCCAAAAAGCCAGAGAACAAGGTCGACATCCCATGATGAAGAGTATCAAGGTTGCGGTGGGCGTGCAAATCTGATGCTGCGCAGGAGTCAGCATACCAGGAGATGTTTACCTGCGCAGCATTTACCAGAAATAGCCGATTGGTAAAATTGGTAGTGCGATAGGCTAGGCCATGGTCGAACAAAAAAGTAAGGAATCTCAAAACATGACTTACAGGTGCTGATATGGGATCCATGTGTTGTTCCATGCACCAACTATTTCATGAATTTCAAGCATGAATGTAGGATTTCTGTCTTCCAGGAGCCCAAGCTCCCACCAGAAGGTCAATAGTTGACTGTAGAACATCTGGGATGAATCCAAGCCCCCGGAGATGAGACATGCCAGTAACTGGAGGTGCCCCTGTAATAGCAGGGAGTGTGATTCCCCGCTGGGATCCAGCAAGAGGTCTGGTGAGATTGGAAGTAATCTTAGGTAATCCATGGACATTTTGATGAGTGTAAGGAACCATGGTTGAGCCATCCAGAATGGGGATGCGAAGATGAAGGAGGTTCGGTAGCATTGGAGATGTAGAAGCGTCTGCGCTATCAAGGAGAAAGGGGGAAGGCGTAATGCAGAGTATCCGAGCACCGTTGAAATAATGCATCTTATGCCAAAGTCTCTGGATCCGGTCTCCACCTGAAGAATTTTGGTAGTTGGGAGTTCAACCATGATGCGAAGAGGTCGATCTCCAGAGGGCCCCAGAGTGACTGGAGTTGTGGGAAAATGGCACGATTCATAGATATCTGAAATTCCAATTTGCCACCATGTTGGACATCCTGGGGATGTATTCCGTCTGTACTGAGATATTGCAATCTAGGCAGAAGTGACAGAAGTCCTTTGCTAGTTCCGCCAACACCACGAACCTCTTGCCCCGAGATGGTTGATGTAGCAGACCGCTAACACATGTAAAAGAATGGAAGAGTTGATTGAGATCCCTACGAAACTCCAGACTGCAAATGAGCCTGCCAACAGTTCGAGGCAATTGACGTGCAACCCCTGTTCATCTGGGGACCATTTTCTCCGGCAGAGATAGGACCACAACGCACACCCCATCCAAGCATACTTGCATCTGATTCCACCACAAAATCTGGCCTCGTCCCAAAGATTGCTCTTCCGTTCCATGCTTCCATGTGCTGCAGCCGCCAAGTGAGTTCTTTTTTGGCTGCGCAATTGAAAGGCACAGAGTCTGAATAAGAGAGACCCGAGCGAAGGTATTTTGTTTTTAAGCGTTGAAGGGCTCTGTAGTGAAGTGGACCCAGGAAAATGGCCTAGATGGAGGCAGAAATAAGGCCAGTTGTTGCAGTGTAAGCACAGGTTGTGCAAACGTCCGGCGGATTTCCTTCTTGATGGCCTTGACTTTGGAGGGTGGTAACAGGAGTGTCCCTCCCACTGAATTGATAGTGAAGCCTAAGAATTCCAAGACTTGAGAAGGTTTTAAGACAGACTTGTCTTAGTTGATGAGGAAACCAAGGTTGCAGAGTAATGTCTTTGTCCAAGCCTGGAGTAAGCGTGGGTCCTGTGCCAACATGAGTATGTCGTCCAAGTATATAATCAGACGCAACCTTCTCCTTCGTAGGAAAGCAACCACTTGCCGCATTAGCTTTGTGAAGCACCACGGGGCCGATGAGAGGCCGAAGGGTAAGCATTTGAAACGCCACATGGTCTCCACCCACCAGAACTGTAGGAAACATTGTCAATCCTCGGCCATCGGGACAGTAAGGTACGCATCCTGCAGGTTGAGTTTGACCATCCAATCCCCCAATAGGAGCAGGTCCCGGAGAGAGTGGATACCCTCCTGTTTAGGGGGCGTAAAATGTTGACCGGTCGGACACCTCCGCCTTTCTTGGGCACTATGAAAAGTATGCATAGAAAACCGGTAGCTCGCAGGTGTGTCTCTATGATTGCGCCTGTGTCGTCAAGAGACTGTATTTTCGCTGAAATTAAGGCCCGGTCGTGGATGGAAAAGACAATTTGGTAGGGAAGAGATATCTGGGCAGGGTTTTGTACAAAATCTATGGCATAACCCAGTACAGTTTGTAGGACCCAAGTATCCAAAGTTAAAATACGTCATGCATTTACAAAATGGCATAATCTAACCCCCCCTCCACCAATGTTACTGAAGGTAGAGATGAAGGAAGGAAACTCACCATAAGGGCGTCGGCCAAAGGAAGAGCTTCTGGCACCACAAGAATGCCAAGGCGTTCCTCGAAATGGGAAGAACGGAGAGGTGGACCTAGGTTCCGGACCTTGGAAATGTGACTGGAAGGAGCCTTGAGAAACCTGGTATGAGCCCCGAAAGGAACGGCCGGGCAGATAGCCCTGATATCTGCTGGCCCCGCCAAAAACTCTATAAGAGAATACTTTTTTCATATTGGCTTTCGCCTTGTCCAGTGCAATAAATGTGCCTACATAGGTACCCAGTACCTTTATGAAACTGTACCCAAAAAGAAGACCTTTTGCCTGTGACCCAGGCTCTGAAATAGCCAAATTAACCAACTTTGGCTCAATCTAAATTGGAATTGCCTTTCACCTCTCGGTGGCTAAAGCCGTATTGGCATTACCGAGTAGACATACGGATCGTTGGATCCAGTCCCTGATAGCAAGCAGGTCCAAGGACATCCAGTATCGTAGCTTGGCAATGACGTAGTGCAAAATCTAGGCCTTTCTTGGCCTTCTACCCAATTTTGTTGAGGAACTGGGCAATCTTTTGGTCCACTTCAGTGGTGATGCATGCCTAATCCGGAATTGTGGTGTGTGGGCATTCTGCCTGCATTTTGCTATATATTTTACCATATGGTCCAGTGGGAACACGGATAGGGAGCCATGGTCGGGGAATAGTGTGCCCAAATTGTATGAGTCCTTGTCATCGGACCCGCTCAGTGCCTCCTCGTGTTCCGAATCTGACTCGGATGATTCTCTTCCAACTCCTTACTGATTTTGCCTGGTGGGTGGCTCTTTGTTGTGGTGGGACCACATTATCTTTGACAAGACATTCCATGTCTGACTGTACAATTTTGGAGGCTTCCTCGTCTATGTAGCAAGATTTTTTGGCGGCTTTGAACCCACCGGTGTTCACCTGTTTGTGCTCTGTGAGGTTAGGAGCAATGTGGGTTGAGGTCCGCTGGGCGGACATGAGGGCATGACTAATGGAGTGGGACAGAGTGTCCGACATGGCTCCCAAAGCCGAATAAATGGCTTAGGTTACTGGCTTAGCCATAGTGGCATCCAGGAGCAAATGAAGCTCTTCTGAGTTCAATTGCTCCTGAGCTGTCTCGTCAGTGGTATTCAGGCCAGAAGGTCAGGGAACAACCTGGGGTGTTGGGTGTCTATTGGCACTAACGGGAGTATCGTTAGAGGCCGTGCCCAAATCATTTTGTGACCGCATAGTCAAGTAGAAGTTGCCCATAAAAGCACCCACAGTAATTATAGTAACAGCAAATAAATTGGGACAGATAGGTGATATGGGGAACCCAAATCTCTAATAGTGTAGGGTAAGAGTAATTACAAATGTCAAGCACTGTTTTGGTATCAGGGGTACCTTAAAATCCAAACATACAAACTTAGCAATATGAAAAAGGCAAGCTCACAAAGTGTTCCCTCAGGAATGGCTCCTGGGGAGCACCGGTGAGGTGCCCAGCAACTGTGCCGAACAATCGGCACACACGCGACCCCAAAATAATAGAAAAGACCGGGAAACAAAAATTGCTGCAAAAATGCCAACCACAACATGGCCGCCGTGAAGCGCACTTGCGTTAAAACTCAGAGACAAACTCGGAGGAGGAACACAGGGCGGTAAGAGCCTCTGACGGAGGGCTGATAGCCGCCCCAAAACACCAGGTGATAATCAACCTGACCGAGGGAGAGCAATGGGGAGGGGGATGGGGGGTGAGGGGTTAGCACTATGGCTGGGGAAAGCAACCAAGAGCCAGCTGAACAGAAACGAAAAAGCAAGGCAGAAGCCCTGAAACAAACAGTGTAGACATGCAAGAGAAAATAAAAACACAAATTAGACACTAATTATGCTTAAATGACATTAAATTTCTGGTATCATACAGAGAGAAAATTAAAATGTACTTAGCTGAGGAGGCAGCAGCAAGAAAAGAGGAGTGGCTTAAGGTCACATGGGGAGTTGATGGTGCAAGGGGCATTATGATTGGATGTATTGTCATGTGGTTAACCCTTTAGAGTACATGTTTACATGTTTGATTTGTTTATATGAATATACAATATTTTCTGTTGAGGATTAAAAAGAAAGAGATTAAGCATAATATGAGCCTCCGTGTCCTTTAATAAAATTAGATACATTGAGTTTTTGTATTTTCTGCTCTGTAAGTACCTTTTTGCCTGTATTTTGATTGACTATACTTGGCAGCAATATCTCTAAGCTGAAAGTGTAGTTTCTTTTTTTTTTTGCTGTGCATGCGATTGCATACAGACTTGCAATACCACAACAGTATTGGCAAGTAATTCAAGTAACAGACAAGGGTAACTTTGACATGGTATATGAAGTAACATCACTATTTTTATGGTGTAATGGATTCAGGCTAGGTATGTACGTCTAAAACTTTGGCTTGAACTAGGCGAGTAGGTACAAGAGGCACGTTAGAAATAGTGATGAACATCAGGAAAGAAATGATATGATAAAACAAGTTTATATCTGTAGCCTAGTACGTTATGCTGCACTACACATTTTTAACTATAGGATGTCATATTAGGTAAACGTGTCTACAAAGTTAGAATATGCTTGGGAAAACATGCTGATTATATGTACTAGTTAGAAAGTTAAGATGAGCTAGACATATAGTTATGTAGTAGCGATGCACTGAATGTATCATGTATAAACAACAGAAAAAAGGCAAATAAATAAAAATTACAAAGTAGTTTTTCGAGCTGTAAGGGCACTTGATGTTGATTAGACTTTAACTATTGTGCATGTGTTTGTTAATTTGTGAGTGGTTTTATAGTCTAGTGCAGTGGTTCCCAAACTTTTTAGGTTCAAGGCGCCCTTAATATTTCAATATTTTTCCAAGGCAAAATTTCTAGGTTGTATATCTGTGCAGTGCTGCTGCATTTACTGGCTCTATAGTGTAATGTACAGTGTGGGCGTTTGAAGGGGTACTTGTATATAGTTTTAGTGTTTGATTGCAGGGGTGTGTTTGAATGTAATATTTGTGTTAGATTAGAGGAGTGTGTATGTATGTTGTGCTGGTGTTTGACTACTTGGATGTATGCACATACACTTCCACATACATTCATACTTACACAGATATACGTGCACAGTAAGACACAGATACATATAAATACATCGACACATACACACAAATTCATATAGACACATACACACATCTTAACAAACGCATAAGGAGTACACACCGGCATAAAAACAGATGTGTGTGCACACACAAACACACACTGACATATATACACACAAACACCCTGACACCCACTTACAAACACCCTGACACACACTCATACACAAACACACCCAATCATATACACACGCGCACACAATCATACACACACAAGCGCACACAATCATACACACATGCACACAATCATACACACACACACACACACAATCATACATACACACACACACACATACACACATTCTCCACTCATGCTCCGGCTCTTCCTCCCGCACTGTCTCCCTGCATGATGCTGGGAAGAAGTGACAGGCTGTCACTTCCTACCAGCCAGTCGACGTTACAGGGGCCCGGTCGCGGTCTTAGAGGACTGCGGCACCTGACCAGGCCCCTGTTCAGCAGTAATGTTTAACGGTGCTATAATCATAGCACTGGGGAAACATTCCACGGTACCGCTGCGTGCCTGTCGCGGCGCCACAGTATGGGAGCCGCTGGTCTAGTGGATTCAGTCAACTGTCATTGTCTAGGTATTTCCTAGTGAGTCAGATTGTCCATAATTGTATACAAGATTGATAGAGGGGAACAAGGACAGTGAGATGTCTGGGAACACAAGTAAGACTAAATCAGGAAAAATTTCAAAAAGCCTTGTTAATTATAATTTATCGCACAAAATACAACAAAGTGCAAAGAATATAAGTAATAACAAAGATAGACATGTGAGGGGTATCCATAATTAATTAAAAACACTAGGCAGTCAACATGTATATAATGCCTGTCAGGAACATGCATTTTACTGTAAGCTTGTTTAAAGAAGAGGGTCCTCTTCAACCTATTGTTCCTGTAAGTTTTTATGTAATTGTCCTATTTATAGTTAAATCCCCCCTCTGATAATATTGTAAAGCGCTACGGAATCTGTTGGCGCTATATAAATGTCAATAATAATAATAATCTTATTATCTCTTTAAATCATTTTGTTCTATCCCTTTTAAGTTCAGAGGTCTACTGACAATAAATAGCCTATTTAAGACCGCCCTGTCAGTGAACCTAATTTGTTGACACCAGCTTGTTTGGGCTCCTGTGCCTTGCATGTTACTTCTAACTAATTTTTCAATTCTCGGAATCTCCAGCTCAATGGCAGAACTGATTTTTCACTTACCTGACTGGGAATTCCTTCAGAATCTACAAATTGGATACTTATGTTCACCTTGTTTCCTGCATTTATCTGACTTCAAATGTTTCCATCTCAGAAAGCTAAACAAATTCTCCTTTCTGCACTCCACTACATCCAGACATTTTATCAGTGGGTGTAATTTTTCTTTCAATATAGATATTGCTTTCTGAACAGAGATATATGACGGCATCAGCTAAAGGACGTGAAGAGGTAAGAATAAGAAAATCACAGAACAACTGAAATGTGCTCAAGATCGACACACACATACACCTTTTGGTACAGGCAGCAACAGTTATGCCTACATGTGCAAAATTGCATATGAACAACTAATTGAAATTGGCAGACCCCACAATTTACGGATATGACGTAAATCTGCTTGCCAAGGATTGTTGAAAATCATGCTCATTATAATGGATCCATGATGAACCATTAACGGATTACCAGAAACCAAAAGAAAGCAATTGCTGATTTGTTTTATATATCACGGATATACTGAAGGATATTATTAACAGTTTTATATAATGGAATAGATCAAAATATACTGCAAGATGTTTTTGAAAGCAATCTTTTTTGTAGTAAGTCCAGTAATGAATGGATTAGAATAATTAGAGTCTTGAATTTTTTTATTCTGGCATTGTTAAAAGTAAAAAGGCACAGACAACACAATAGTCTCATGCGATTTATCTGTATGCATGAAAGTTAATTAGATTCATAGAGTCAAGTATACACAGGCACGGTTATTTACTAAAGTGAGAATTCAGAGTGAATTTCAAATTTAAAGCCCGAGTAGCCAAGCTGAAAGCATAGATGACTTAGAGAATTTTTCCAGTTCAGCAATTTTGACCTTAAAGGACCACTATAGTGCCAGGAAAACATACTCGATTTCCTGGCACTATAGTGCCCTGAGCTGAGCTGAAGTGGTCTGGGTACCTATAGTGGTCCTTTAAGCTTGAAATTCTCTTTGAATTATCACTTTAGTGAATAACCCTGGCTGTTTTTTTTAATATGATATCCAGACCAAAATCTATACAAAATACAATTAAAGGAACAGCGCACACCGAAGAACAAAAATAAAGTTTTACATTTTACAAGGCTACTTAAAATCACCTATCTCAGCAAACAAATATGGGGATTCAGTTCCACAATATGGCCATATTGTATTAAGCCACCACTACGTCACAGTACCCCAGTATCGATGGGCCCTACACTAATTTTAACATGGAAGATTTACATGCTATACTTACTTGCAATACTTACAGTTTCAACTGCTTCCAGAAACTCCTCAATTCATGTTTTTGATTTATGGTTTTTGATCTTTACGGCAGCTGTATGCCTGCTATGGTGTGTCCCCAATTCCTGTTTTTTTCTGTGTAGATTTGTAACCCAGACCAGATTCCTACTAGGCTGAGCACCCTTCCAAACCACCACAGGTGCTCCTTTTGACATATGGTGTAACTGAATACCCATATTTGTTTGCTAATATAAGAGATTTTAAGTAGCCTTTAAACATTGAAAACTGTACTTGTTTTTGTTTGTGCACTGATCCTTTTACTGTATTTTATATATACATACATGTATTTAGTGTTTTTAAAGATTGAACAGATTGATTAAAGCTATATACATACTGACATGTTA